TAAAATAACTAAGGGAGGAGAAAGAATAAGAATTTGTCGCGTTATCCTAGGCCATGGAATGACTTAAGGATTACCAAGGTAAATTCAAGGTTACGACAAATTGTTTTTGTACACATAAGGGGGGTTTAAATTTACGAATAGCTAAGGCTTCAATAAACTTAAGAATTCGAACTTGACAATTTCTATACAACATTCTAAATGCTGTATTAGTGTTAATTTTGTGTCCCGTCTCAATTATGTGTTTTGCTATCGATGAACTTGGTTTTCTACCTTCTACATTAATCGGATCATTTGACACACACTGATTTTGAAGCCATCTGGGCACATGTTCATTGACCCTTGATTGCATTGTTCGATTACTCCTCCCTATGTATGTGTGTCCACACAAACATGTAAATTGTTAAATACAATGGGATGTGACGTAACCATTAGTGCATTGTTTGGGTCTACAAATTTCGAATGCGGTAAAGGTGGAAGATTTCGTAAAATGATTCATGAGGATATAAAAAGTTCCTCTACATTACTACGTCATTCTAACCCAGTGCATACTCAAGGCTATGCAGATAATTCATTGGGGAGTTGCAATGCATTTCATGAAGATGGACACAAGTTTGGTCAGTGGTTGTCCTGTGATAAGTTCCACTCTTTTAGTTAATGTAAATTTCGTAATTCTAAGTGCTTTAAATGTGGTGATATTGAATATATTCAGTCAGTCTGTGGTACTACTGTCCAACTTACTGCAATTAATATTTAGTCTTGTAATTCTGATCCTACTGAGTCGAGTATTTATAATGATCATTTATCTTTATCAACGATTTTAAAAGACAGTGTATAGCCATATAGCAGTTCAGAGTTAAATGAAACTCAGAATCCTTGTGAGACAACGGTTTCTAATCAACCGACTTATCGGATTCATCACGTTATTGTACCAGATATGGTTTTTAATAATGATCCACATATTTCTGATGAAATTCCTTGCAAATGTGGGGAAAATATGTTGAGTGAACATAATTATGATCGAAAACCTGATGTAGTTTTGATGGATGCTGGTTTTTCTAATGATCCTTTACTCTGCAATGACATTCTTAATAAAGTTAAGGAAACTATTTCAGAAGGGTCAAAGCTTGATGTTCTATCAAAAATTATTTGTCCTCATAATGCATATGTTTCTAGAGGGAACCTTGTTCAATGAGAAGCACAAGTACTAAATGATCTCGATTTTGATTACAATTCCGATGATTTCACATCAACTGCTGTTTATCCTTATCGCAAAGTCACTTCTAATGTTTACTCTAACGAATGTGAGAAATATGTTTTAAGTGAAGCCAATTCATTCATAACTTGAGGATATAAAGATCCAACATTATTTCGTGGGGGAGGATAGTGTTGAAAAATCTGTGCTTTAAATTCTAGATAGTGGTTTCGGCATACAACTGACACGGTGATTGTATACCATCCTAAGAAGCAGGCGATTCTTTTCCGATTTCATTTGTTAATTCCGATACTCATGAGCACATTCTAGATAATACAGAGTTTTTATCCAATACAATGTCGGACAGACACAGGATAAACTCAAGAAGAAGATGTACAATCAATTACAGTAACCTAGACACCAATTTAAGCTGTGGCGGATGTGGTGTTTGAATGAAGTAATGATATCATTGTACTTGTTGAACGCTTGATTTCGAATTTTAAATACAATACATTCGTTCCTACTTACCTACCACTTCTTGATCCGATTACGTTATTTCTGGGATTCCTGGTCCATACTATATTTAAATAATTCGAAACGTTATAGTGTTCTCTGTCACACATTGGTTTTGGTTGCGATACGATGAATCTGTACAGACAAGGATGTGATTTACACGTAAGATCTTATGGATAAGGCAGTTACAACATGAGAAGTACACAATTTTACGATTAGATCTATTAATAGAGAAGCACTAATAACCAAGTAAACCATAATTCTACAAGTAAATCAAAGATTAATTTTCATTGGTGAAAGTTCCAGGTCATTTACTACTAGAACGCTGATATGGAAAAAGGGATGAGTATGCTGTCGTGTTACCGTGGTAAAACCAAAAAAATTGGTCGATAAATAGACTAGTAATTGTCATCATAAATAAGGTGTTGTTTTCCCGTGTGACTTTATTAGTCTGAAAACAGGTTCAGAGACTCAGTTATTTGTAGGGGTCCTCTGTATGAACAGTAGAATGAATCTCCTGTAGACTAAGAGCATCATTGTCGAAATTAACTCAACACTGCCTAACTTTCATGCCATTGCCATAGTCAAGACTCGTAAGTTATATCCCAACTGATTGCAACTTATTTTCTACCTGGTAGTCACATAGTAGACTTCCACACTATCAGCTTGTGAACACTTGTTTAGCTGAAGGCATATCCGGTATTTCACCTACAATGGCAGATTATAAGATGTGTTGATTTCAAAAACTCATTATAAAATAGATTATTACATAGTGTTTTTACAACTAAATAATCACATTTAGCCTATATTCAGGGTAATTTTTAACCATTGAAAAACACTTATATGAATATCTGGCTCAATATATGATCACAATATTGGGTTCGGATAACATTCCTCATGATCAAACTGATGTTGAACTAACTTTAGTCAATGGTTCATACGTAATTCACACAATTACCACTAATCTCACGTTACAAAGGATTTCATGGATGGTATCTTATATATTTTTGTGCTATAAGTGAATTCTTTCATATTTGTTGATGTGTCATTATTGTTAGTGCGAGCACAAAAAATTTTTTTGTCCTAAAACTACCAACTACCGGTTAATGTGGCGGGTTTTAGTGTGACTTATTAAGACACATTGATGTACTAAAACACTTTAGTTAGTCTTAACCACACTCCCTTCGACCGCAGGTAAACGTATTCTTTGAGGGTGTATAGAGCATATCTAAAATTTTATGAATGTAAAACCAAGACATTACTAGTGTTTATTCATCATCACTGGTGACGAAATGATTTAAAGAACTAAAATCTTATTGACTGAATTCGTTTATTATCATCATTATTATTGGTGATACTCGTTCACAATAAGAATTGCGACCACCTCATTTCCATCGTGAATTCTCAAACTCTAAAGACAGTATATTTTGCTAAGCCCAATAACGACCGGTATTGTGTACAAGCCACAAACGCTTTCAACGTTTGAGTATCAATCACTAGTACTAACTAAATGCATATACGTACATTTTCCTTCTGTTTGAATAACTTGCGGTCAAAGTACGTCGTACATAAGTGTGAGCTTCTTGAACATGAACACTACCTCTGCACCTGACGTAAGCCATCGTTCTCGTTGGTGTTTTCCACATACATAAAAGACAGTCCACGTCCTCCCGTGCTGAGCCTAACCTACCTGACATACTAAACAGATATCACATCCTCAGAAAAGCTTTAGCTATAGCTTCAGATTGTAACATGGAACTAGCAGATACAGTGTATCCCAGAAAGGCGTTGAGCATAGAGTTTGCATTAAAGGACTATTCAAAAATGCCACAAACGCAAGAAGGCCTAATATCACAAAACGAGGGGTGGTTGTGTTCCTGGTTAGCAAATATGCCGAAGAGGAGATAAACTCAATCCACCCACGTCTGCAGGGCAAGACGTTTTTTGACTTATGTACTAGTAGAGTGTGACCAATCAATCATATTGATGTTAATTCGCCATGCCAACTAAACCATTCACTCGCGTTTGTAACCTTTAAACCGATAAAAACCATCGCTAGCTAATCTTGACTGTTACGCTAAAAAGAGTTATTATTATCGTTATTAATAACAAACAGCTCATGGGTATTTAAGTGTTGTAAAAAATCATTTCAGGTAGGACGTGAGCGATTTATTATTGTTATGCCTCCCTTACCTTTCTGTTTATATTACCAACATTGTAAGTTCACTAAATTTAAGTGAGCTGAGTAAGATTCATTGAATAGTTACACCTCTTTAGTCGCTGGCCTGTGGTGAAGATGATTTGTAGCTAAGGTAATTGCTTTTGGTGCAGTTTCGTTCTTTAAGTTGGATAATTTGATTGTCGAGCTCATATTGATATACGGAGAAACATCATCAGTACAAACATCAAGTAGATAAACATACACTAACTTAACAAAATTACATTGTCCATTGAATTCTTGATGAAATAAACGTGAGTCAGAAAGTTAACGCGAGAACACTAGATCGAGAATGAATGGAGTAACCATTCCATGTACCATCTTAGTCTTTATATTACATATGTCATCATACAACCAGATAAAATGTTTTATCAATATGCCCTTATAAACAGTACGCGCAACAGGCAATTTAAGAATTCACTACCGTATAATAGCATTAGAGAAAAATTCTAAGTTCAGTTATATACAGTATTAAGAGTGGAGGGCCTACAACAATGTTTTTCGGTAATGTACTAAGTAATGCTCTCCATAAGGAACATATAGGATCTAGCTTTGCCATCTATAGACGTTACACGAAGAAATCATTGATGGAATTAAGGACGGGTTCGCCAGTCCCTAAATATTCCAGTCCGCTAAGTGGTCCCTTATAAATTGTTATGTTGAAGCCAATGTAGAAACCTTCTACTGATTACCAATATCGTCTCTGTCCCATCATAGTGAGGTTGTCTGTGAAAGATAATATTGTCTCGAAATCACTTTTTCCTAACGCGCCATCGGCTTAGACAAAAGTCCAAACTGACTTTCTGGTTATTCTTTCCAATATTCTGACCACAAAGCTGGTGAGGCTGACAGGTTTATCGATGACAAAAGTCATTTTGATCGTTTCTTATGAATTATAATGGTGATAAAACCAATTCAATCCGTAATTAACTTTCGCCATGTGACTTTCTGTATACCTAGATAATAATGAGACAGTAAGAATTTGGCTCTTCAGATATAAGTCGTAAAAGTACGCTTTTTGAAGCTGATATGACATTTCACTGTACTGGTGGTAAATTGTTTTATTCGACCACATTCAAATAACCACTTAGTAACATCTCTACATAAGACCACCGTTTTTATGAATGCCAAAAATTTCGAGGAAATTCAAAATTAGGACGTTGATTGATAATGAATGGATGGATAACAATTCTAGTACCTGAACCATGTTTCTTTCGATGAAAGCGATGAAGTGGGCTTACCCTATATGTCCGAGGATCACCACTATTGGAAAAACAGGATGTGACATTATTATTGACGTATGTATATGTAATTGTAACTCATATTTCAGAATCCAACTGTTGATCAACAACATGCTGTTATAGAGTATGATCCGTCTAGTGGTTTAATTACCTTACGTGACCTGTCTTCTCGTAAAGTAATTTCAAAGTTAAATGATTGATGTCTGTCTTTAAAGGGGACATTTGTGAATGATCAGAGAGTTGATGGAATCGTTCGACTAATGGTTGGAGACAAACTGAGGTTTGGGTGCTGCTCAACAATATATGAAATAACATCTTCAGGGAAGAACTCGCACGAGGTTCTTGAACCATTTTCACTACAAGTTATCAAAAGTCTTTTACAGGTACTCAACCAGTGAATCTTGGTAATCAAGAAAAGCGAGCAGGTAACTAAATTATAATAACTTATGACCAAGAAGCTACAATTCCTCCATGGGTGAAAGTGTGTGACGATTCAAGTTCAAGTCAAACCGATATTTCAAGGATCGTTTCAAGTGATAACTATTATCGCTTTTATTTATTGATATCTGTAGACAATAAGGCCTCTAACACGTGTTTAAAAGTTGACGAAAATAATTTAGAGGCAAATTCATCTTCGAAGCAACCGGAGAGTCGTTCGAATAATAACGAATCAAAAATGTATCCTCTCTATTATATCAAAGCAAATACTTCAGGTGGTTACTCTAAGTTCATAACAAGTTTTGGTTTCTATTTCTGAAATATTTTTGCACTTTTCATCCGAACTTTATGACATAAAGTAGATAGTAATATCGATGAAAAGTTTTTAACAGATTGGAATACTATTTATACTTATAACGGTTCGTGATACGCCTGAAAAAATTGAGAGGAATCACTGATGAAAAATTATGGATTTAGCAATACATGTTACTGTTTAAATATATTAAGGTTGTATCCCTTATATAATTTTCATAGTCTTGAACTCAAGAAATCACAAATCGATTGTGGTAATTAAGAGTATTTGAATTATAGTACAAACTAGGGATCCAAGAAATAACTCAATTTAACCAGGAAATATTAGGTGAATACGAACAAACATATTATATTTGGAATTTAAAATCAAGCAGTCATCAAGTGCAAAGGAACCTGATGATGTCACAGGTATTCAGTGTTTCACAACGCTTCTACCAGTAACACCTTCTAATATGTTTCGTTCCCACCAAGAGAAATCAAAAGACAGAGTCGAGGAGATCGGAAGAGTATATTTGGCGATGACCAATATACCGGGATTCTCTGATCTAATCTGGCTAGCGATTGTGGTTGATGTTGAGCACGGCGTTACTACACGTGATCTGGTGCGGATGCCTGACCGAGCGCCTTCAGCTAGATGAGTCCACTAAAACATATGGTCAGCATCCAATGTCGAAAACTTACAGAGCTATTTATTTTAGGGATTTATTTACCGCTACAGATCACTCCCCCCCTAGTGGGGCAGTGACGACCCTAAGACGTGGCCAGCCAGAAGTTTAAACCCAACGAGTTTGTCGTTGGTAAACACTCTTCTGATAGCTTACTAAATTTAGCAGCGTCTGGTCGTCTTTCCTTACTATATGGGACGGAGGTACAACATAGTAAAAAAAAGAAAATGTACAATGAAAATTTCGGATCCTCATAAACGTCATCGTTCTTTTCCAGCCGTCCTGGAAAAGAAAAAAGAAAATGTAAGTGCATGTCGACAATACACTCGTATATGCGTAAAAAAACAAGGTCGGCGGAAAAAAAATGGAAAATAAACTCATGAGCACGTAATAGCGTTAAAAAATTGTTTTTTTTGTTTTGTTTTTTTTTAATAGAAATAAAAATATATAAGCATATTAAAATTGTTTTTTTTTTCAAAAAAAAAATAATATAAAATGTCGAGAAGTGCCTTACGTGCAATAGTCGTTTAAATGTTCTGGAAATCTCACCCTTCTTCCAGAACGCGTCGTTTTAAGTTTATTTTCGGATACTGTCGAAGTATCTTCGTGTGCGTTGGTTGTCGGATGAGGTATTATTAGTGTCTGAGTCGTGTCGTTCGATTGTACCGAAGGAAAATCGACGTGGATAGGATTTCCTTCTAAATACGCTGCTTTTAAGCGATCGATGCTGATGCTATCGTTGGTTCCGTTCTTATCGACTATATAGTACTTAGATTCACGTTGAAGAACTTTGAAGGGTCCTTCGTATGCTGATTCGAATGGTCGTCGATGCGAGTCTCGACGAATGAAAACGTGTGTACTATATCGTAAGTCAGGTTGAACGAAAACATCAGTTGATTGAGGTCGAGTGGAAGCAGGTTTAACTGAACGCATTGCGTTTGTAAGCCTGTTCGTGTAGGAGGTTAGATCCATGTTCATCGAAGAGCACGAAGGATCCACGAATTCTCCTGGAAGTCGAAGTGTCGTTCCATAAACGAGTTGAGCCGCAGTGTATCCAATGTCAGCTTTCACTGCATTGCGGATACCTAGTAAGACGAGTGGAAGAGCGTCGGTCCATTGTGAAACGTTTGCAGCTGATAGCGAAGCTTTCAGTTGTCGGTGAAAACGTTCTACCAACCCGTTTGCTTGTGGGTGGTAGGCGGTCGTTCGGAAGCGAGTGATTCCTAAAAGTGTGGTCAGACGACGGAAAAGATCAGATTCAAACTGACGTCCGCGGTCTGTAGTGATGGTTGAAGGGCAACCGAAGTTTGCTACCCATCGTTCGACGAATGTGCGGGCCACTGTTTCAGCAGTGCTGTCCTTGATAGGTACTGCTTCTGGCCATCGAGTGAAACGGTCTACGCAGGTTAAGAGATAAGAGTATCCATTTGAATCTGGTAAAGGTCCTACCAAATCCAGATGAACATGGTCGAAACGAGCATCGGGAGTTTTAAACGAGCCTAAGGGACATTTATTGTGTCTGATAACCTTAGATTTTTGGCAGCTTACACAGGAGCGTGCCCACTCCCTCACGTCTTTATTCATGCCAGGCCAGCAAAATCGTTCTGCTATAAGCTTGATGGTTGCACGAACACCTGGATGAGAAAGTTTGTGCAATGTGTTGAAGACATTGCGTCGATAATGTTTCGGCACGATTGGGCGATCCCTACCTGTAGATGTGTCACAAAGTAAGGTTTCCTTACCTGTTCCCATCTGTTTGATGCGTAGTTTAAGTGTTGTGGACGATAACTCGTGCTGAAGATCACTGTCTTCTTTTTGAAGCTCGGCGAGTTTAAGAAGGTCGATTCCTTGGAAACTGTTCAAGGAAGTTATGCGAGATAAAGCGTCTGCAACTACATTGTTTGCTCCAGAGATGTGTTGAATATCTGAAGTAAACTGCGAAATGTAGTCCAGTTGTCGAGACTCACGGGGAGAGTACTTGTCAGAAGGAGAGCTTAACGAGAAAGTGAGCGGTTTATGGTCCGTGAAAAGAGTGAATTCACGGCCTTCGATATAGTGTTGGAAATGCCGTACAGCACAATACATAGCTAGGAGTTCCCTACCGAATGTGCTGTACCTCGATTCGGTGTCTAGCAACCTTCTAGAGAAAAATGCCAAGGGTTGCCAGGAGTTGTTAACCCATTGTTGTAAGACTCCTCCGATTGCTGAGTCGGATGCGTCTACTGCGATGCTAATGGGTGCTCGGGTGTCCTGATGTGCGAGCATTGTTGCTTTAGCAATCAGTTCCTTGACTGTGGAGAATGCTTTTCGTGCGGTGTCGTCCAAATTAATGGATTTCGCATTTCCACGAAGTTGGTCGGTCAGAGGTTTCATAAGTGATGCGCATTTGGGTATGAAACGTCTATAGAAACTTACCAGGCCGTTGAACGTGCGTAATTGCTTGACGGTGGTCGGTTCTGGGTAATCCAGAATGGCCGCCACTTTGGTTCTAAGGGGTCGGATACCTTGAGCATCGATAGTGTGTCCCAGAAAGTCTAACGAGTCGGTTCCAAATTGGCATTTCTGAACGTTTACAGTTATGCCATGTTTTTGTAATCGTTCGAAAACAAGGTCCAGATGCTTGAGATGTGTTTCTCTGTCCGGACTTGCGATTAGACAGTCGTCAACATACGCGTGTACGAAGTTGAGACCTCGAAAAACGTCGTCTATGAATCTTTGGAATGTTTGAGCAGCATTCCTTAGACCGAAAGGCATTCGCAAAAATTCATAGAGTCCGAAGGGAGTTATGATAGCCGTTTTCGGTATGTCGTCAGTAGCCATAGGGATTTGGTTATACGCTTTAACCAAGTCGATTTTCGAAAAGACAGTTGTACCTTTCAAGGTAGCTGTCAAATCGTGAATGTGAGGCAACGGGTAACGATCGGGAATGGTTTTCGCGTTCAATCGCCGATAGTCACCAGTTGGACGCCAATCGTTGCTGTCCTTTTTAGGGACCATGTGCAACGGAGATGCATATGGGCTACTTGACGGTCGTATGATTCCTAAGTCCATCATGTGATCGAATTCGTTTTTCGCTAACCTTAGCTTTTCAGGAGCTAGTCGTCGTGCTTTAGAGAATACAGGTGGTCCTGTAGTCGTGATGTGATGTGTAACATTGCTGGTTACACACGGTAGTTTCGGTTGAGTTTGTTGTATCCCAGGGTACTTATCGAGTAGTGGTTGATAGAGTGGGTCTATCATATGTTTAACTGTGACTGGGGATACTCTACAACCAGTAAAAGAAGTTACGCAAACGGACAAATTAGTGTTTCCGTCTACTAGCCTCCGTTTGCGAGTGTCGATGATCAGATTGTGGTGTTGTAGAAGGTCCATACCAATGATTGGCATAGAAACATCTGCAACGACGAAAATCCAGTGGATGGGTTTGCGTAAACCCACGTTAAGGTAAACGTACCTTTTGCCATACGTAGCGATCGGTTTTCCGTTTGCCGCCTGTAAGTTTAGGGTCGATTCGTGAAGTCGGTCGTTAGGATTTGCTGGGAGAACGCTAACTTCTGCGCCAGTGTCGACGAGGTAGCGAACTCTCGTTGTCACATCTGTGACGAATAACAGACGGCTTTGTTCGCCGGCTACGGTTGCCGTTAACGCGTGCCGGCTTGGAAGTTTCCCGAATTGTTTTTCGAATCAGTCGGTTTCGTGTTGGGAAAATTGCAGGGTTTTCTGCAATTTCTGGAAAACTTTCCATACTGGTTATGATACCAGCACCAGTCGGGGTTATCTGTCTCTCGTGGTCTAGAGACAGATCGCTTACGAGAAATGCTTCTACGTGGTGTGCGCGATCTCTTACGGTCGGTACGAAGACTAAGATAACGCGTGAGTGTGTGACATAAGTCGGTTATGTCATTCTGAGTCGTGTGAGGCTTTTCTTTGACTGAAAATACCTCGGTAGTAGAAGGTTTCGTAATTTCTAGAATGCGGTCGGCAGATACAGCTAGTTCGTCTAAGGCGTTGTTCTGGAACGAGACCAGAACTGCTTGCACCTGTTGGGGAAGTTTTGACAAGAAGAGTTGTTTGAATAGACCTTCGTCGAAAGTTCTTGGGCCTATAACCTCTCTCATCCGTTGCAACATGTCCGTCGCAGAACCGTGTTGCAGGTCGATATTGTTGAAGAGTTGATCTAACCTTTGTCGATCGGTTAGGTCTCCTCGTTTAAGAATCGAGCGTTTTAAGATTTCGTAAGGATCGGAAACATCACTAGTAAACATACTAGGTGTTACGTACCTGTTGAATTCCCGCGGCAGTGCCTTGACTACTGCGAGGAATTGTGCACGTGTGTCGATCACGCCGTGCTCGGAAAAGTCGGCTTCTGCGTAGCAAAACCAGGCTTCGATGTTGTCGGGCCAGAAAGGCATCAGTTGAAACGAAGGTGGGGACAAGGTCTTAAGCTTGAGTACTTTAGGTGTCTGTTCAGTCATGATGAAATATGAAGTACGATAATGAACGAGGGGAAAATATATATATATATCCAAGAAAAACACGAAAAAAAATCACAATGTTTAAAAAAAATAAAAAATAAGGCAATGATATATAAAAATCCCAAAAAGGAACAGACTCACAGTTGCAATAAGGTGTACCAGATCACGACGGTCTCACCAATGATGATGTCACAGGTATTCAGTGTTTGACAACGCTTCTACCAGTAACACCTTCTAATATGTTTCGTTCCCACCAAGAGAAATCAAAAGACAGAGTCGAGGAGATCGGAAGAGTATATTTGGCGATGACCAATATACCGGGATTCTCTGATCTAATCTGGCTAGCGATTGTGGTTGATGTTGAGCACGGCGTTACTACACGTGATCTGGTGCGGATGCCTGACCGAGCGCCTTCAGCTAGATGAGTCCACTAAAACATATGGTCAGCATCCAATGTCGAAAACTTACAGAGCTATTTATTTTAGGGATTTATTTACCGCTACAAACCGTTAGTTCATACAAATACCACATCCGCCACAGCTTAAGTGAGAATCCAAATTTTATGCAATCAATCGTACCTCTTCTCCTTAGGTTCATCGTGTCTGTCGACCGTGTGTTAGATGTAGACTCTGTATGATCTGGGTCCTAGAATTGTATACAATCAACATGTCGGTTGTATAGGGAAACCACAGATATCTGGAATTCGAACCGCAGACTTCCTAACACTGTCATCCCTCTTAAAATAATGTAGGGTTCTTACTTCGCAATGTTATGACCAATTTGACATTCTCAATTCGCATTATCTTCTTATATCAGTGAAATGGGAATTTGATTTCTCTGAAATATTGTCCTCAAATTTATTCATTAAAGAACAATGGATCATTATAGAAATCAGCATCTATCAAAACTACATCAGGTTTTTGTTCATCATTTGATTCACCCAAAATATTTTCCTCAGATTCGTAAGAAATTTCATCAGAAATATGTGAATTATCAGGACAAACCCTATCTAGTACAATAACATGAGAAATCTGATAAGAAGTTGATTGATTAGAAAGTTTTGTCTCATAATGAATCTGAGCTTTATTTAATTCTGAACTGCTATGTGATTCTATACCGATTTTCGACACCAGTCCCAGAGATAACGCAACTTAACAAAGATGTACCAAATGAGCACGAACGAACATTTGTCTGGAATTCAAAATCAAGCAGTTATCAAGTACAAGGGAATTACTAGTTAATATAAACGCCATACCTATACAAGTATTTAGATTGTGATGAGATACATAAAAAGCTATTGAAAATATTATCAGCCATCACACTTTACTTAAAGCGTGTGGTTCTGATCGTTAAGGTCAGTTTTAAGCTTGGGTTATCTGGAAACTTTTTTTTATAGTACAAGTAACTAAGTTATATTCCATAATATACTTTTTAACAGATACCTTCACTAAAATTGTTTCTTGACTTGAGTAAGAATATTAAATCACTGCCATCACTTTATGAAGACGATTTTAAGAAGCGGGATGATTCACCCAACTGGTCGGAAAGTAAATTTGATTATACTGAACTACGAAACAGTTGATAAAAACTGACCAATAACCAAGTTTATATATACAATTTACACTGTCATTAGATATGACTATATTAAATAAAAAAATAAAATAGATTACCGAACTTTATGAGTGCTTCTTTATAGCACTCTCTAACTTTAGAAGTTTCTCCCGAAACCCATCGCTGATCAACTGATTTATGGGTGTATGTTTTAGAGAATCTCATATTAAGACTAAATCCGCTTTGTAATATCTATTGCTCTATGACTGTTAAGTTCAAGTCAGCCCATAATGTCAGCTATCTTCCAATAAGAGAATCTCTACGACTATCCATCTTAATCATGTTTAACTCTGTTTTAGACCGCTGCTTGACTAATCTCTTTCCAGACGTAACAACGAGTGCTTCAACAGGAAATGACTGCAATCCAGATCAAAAAGTAAGCTGTTAATTGATCAACTTTTGTATTAAATGTATACCTGAAATGTTTCAGATCAAAGTATAAAAGATTGGTTTGTACAACAAGATAGATAGTTCAGGAATACATGAGATCTAAATATAATTTATAGATTCATGATGTAAAACTGAATTATGGAAAGTTGGCTATCCACTAACTAAAGTGCCGAATGCACGTTAACTAGATAATGGCAAAATAGAGTTGTTTCTCTTACCTTTATTTTTTAACCACGACTTTTAAGTCCCAACTAAAATAAATGAGTATTTAAAATAATATCGAAGATCTGCAGATCAGATAGAAATCTTTGATGATATTGTATTCTCCAAGCCAGGTGATGTATTAGCAAAACTTTCAAAATTATTCTTGAATACACAATAAAAGTTTGTTGGGTGATAAGGGTTAGTCAGAACGGGAACATAAGTCCGGTTTTTGTGCCATTTTGCGATTGCCAACAAGGCGTTCTCGCAATCTTGAAGTGGGTGATGATATGTATGTGAGTCGACCTCACATCATCTACCTGCACAGTCTAATATGTTACCGCTAATCTACTCAGTCCTTACCTAAAATCCTCCAGGACTGAGATATTTGAAACTGATTGATGGCTGTGTAATGACCAATGCAATACTTGTACAGCCTTTTAGTGTCAATTGAATTCTAGTTACAAAAAGCCTACTTCAAGTAAAAGGGAAACTTTTGATTAATCCATTGTACATACTCGCATCTCATAGAAATAGGTATTGAAAATACTGTTTAACACAACAACAAATGCTTAACAATTAAATCTATTATTAACCAAAAGTCGTTATAATACAATGGTAACAAAAGTCAACATGCAAATGTTGTGCTTAATTCGATAGATGTTTAATTCATTTGTTTACTAGTATGGGGTTGTGGAGACTATTAAGTTTTAATTGAGATCTTGAACCAATTGATGTTAGACCATCACAATTGAAAACCTGGAAGCACTGGACGGCCGTTTCGTCCTATTGTGGGACTCCTCAGCAGTGCGCATCCACGATCCCGCGAGCGGGATTCGAACCCAGGGCCTTCGGTCTCGCGCGCGAACGCTTAACCAACTGGACCACTGAGCCGGCATCCAATGGTGATAGTTTCTAACATCAACCAATCCACGAAATTGCGCGACCCACTTCCATTGTCTTTAAGTAGATAACTTAAAGACTTAACTTAAAGATACTTAAAGACAATGGAAGTGGGTCGCGCAATTTCGTGGATTGGTTGATGTTAGAAACTATCACCATTGGATGCCGGCTCAGTGGTCCAGTTGGTTAAGCGTTCGCGCGCGAGACCGAAGGCCCTGGGTTCGAATCCCGCTCGCGGGATCGTGGATGCGCACTGCTGAGGAGTCCCACAATAGGACGAAACGGTCGTCCAGTGCTTCCAGGTTTTCAATTGTGATGGTCTAACATCAATTGGTTCAAGATCTCAATTAATTCATTTGTATTAATTGTTTAAATCTTCCTACTGATGTTTAGAACTGCGACTGTATGGTCTGCATTTGAGTTCTGGGATAAATATTAACTCTAAGATGCAGGTACATCCAGCTGAAGAGTTTCGAATAGGACGAAATGTGGGTTCTGGATTCCTCTACCAGCCACCAACCATCCGTGCTCATAATGTTTGGTAACAATATCGATGCGATTCGTACAGAATGCACATAACCCATAAGATACAGATCAATCACAGTCTTAAACAAAAGTGAGATTTAAACAACGAATACTGTAATTTAAAACGTGGTATCAGTGCTTGAAGTCATTAACTTCTAGTCTGAGCCATTTTGGTAGATGAAACTATTTGGTTTCGGTCCACGTGACTATCGTAACCAATGGTTGGAGACTGTGGGTGACATGGTTCAGAATCGATCACAATTGTGTAGGTGTATACACTCCCTGTCTTCCCTTAAAGCATGAGATTAAAATTGCTTCATATCTTTCTTTCGATTAATTAATTCTTTCTTCTTGTACTATATCCTTATACACAATTATTTTTTGATATATTACTACCATTGAAGTGACTGCTTCTATGAATTTGTTGTTCATCTTTTTGTGCTAATGAGGTATGGTAACTTGGACTGATGCACATATGTGTCTGACCCTACGTTGTAGCTGAATGACATGTCATCAATCTCATAGTCAGCTTTCAAATGAATGTCAACAATTCTCTTATAATCCTCAGTCTAACATGAAACTGTAACAAATTTATATTCGTATTTATAAATATATCTTTTTACATTAAAAATTTGACGAGACTGAGAAGATTAGAACAACAGAGTAGTATCTATATTGGTAAAATCCTAGTAAACATATGATTGTTTAAAATTAAAGTCTTACTAGACGCCTTGCAACTAAATCCCATAATTGTTGTCAGTGATTAACCAGAATATGTTTTCGACTTCAGTTTGACATTTATATTCTCAAAAGGTTCAAAACAACATAGTTGTCCAGAATGCCACCAATGACACGTTGTATCCAAGACTTAAAATTTATAGAATTTAAAAAAGACACTGCATGTTGTGATTTTTTTTACATTTGACCACATAAATATTGGTTTAAGGGGGCACCAGATACGTATGCGCCACACAATAATAATGAGAATGGGAAGAGATAAAGAATGTAAGGAGTGTGTAAAAAGAAAAAAGGACGATAACGACCACAAATTAGTGTATGGTAGTGAAATAATAATAGTGGGGGAAACAGCAACGTACAACCAGAAAGAATCCTTTCGGTTAAAGAAGTTACGGCCACTTTTCATGAAGAAAGTAAAAGATGGTTACAGCAGGATCGCCACTGGCTTCTATTTTGAGCCATATCTAATAACGTCACTAGCCACTGTGTTGCACCATCGCTAGGACACTAACCAGGGAGTTGTGAAGGACCGACAGAATCCAGTCCCGTACACTATTCTTTCATAACACGACACCACGTCACACACTGACCATCTCTCTGCGTTTTCCAACCAGTCCCGGTGTCGGAAAATAATGCGCAACGTGAAATTCTCTGGGACGACATTCGTAGAACATGTCCAAGCCAACGAGGTCGATGTTACAAGATGGTGACACCGATTGCATTGTCGTCTCTGTGCCCGAACACACGATGCCGAACCTCTGGATTACTAACATGGTGTTGCCACTGGATGTCAGCAATCCTTCGGAGACAACGATGATCGAACACAGAGAGTCGTCTAACGTTTTCAACTCGGAGAGGCCAGGTTTCACAAGCATAGAGCAAAACTGCTCTCACCGACGCGTTGTAGATCCGAGCTTTTACAGCCAGACTAACATCACGAAGGTGACAAAGATGGCCCAGATTGGCATAAGCCTCTCTGGCTTTCACTATACGTGCATTGATCTCATCACTCACGCCACCACCAGCACTTATGCAGCTACCACCCAGATACACGAACTTCTCGACTACTTCTATCTGCTCACCATCCAGGGTGAGTACAGGATTGGAATCCTGCCAGTCTTGTAGAAGTACTTTGCACTTCGAAGGTGCAAAGCACATACCATACCTACGGACACTGATTGCCAACTGATTAAGTGAGGATTGCATACCTTGGGCATTATCGCACAGTAAGACAATATAATCCACATACTCAAGGTCGAGAAGTTTTTCTCCAAGCAATAGATCCACACCGCCATTACTTACATCCATCGAAGCTGTTTCCAGAATGTCGTCGATAGCAAAGTTGAAGAGAGATGGTGAGATTGGGCAACCCTGTCTAACTCCACTGCTTGAATGGAACAATGAAGAAAGGTGGTTGTATGTCATCACTCTACCTGAGGTGTTTGTTTTTAGGGCTTTTAGGATGTTAATAAACAAGATTTTTGTAGTATAATTATGAATAGTGATTACAATCTAACTACTAGTTTTAACGAGTTTGACTTAATTTCAAATGAATATGACAATAGCCATAACAAATAGCAATAAATTATGCAGAATTCTTACATCTTTTCTTTATACCTTTGTTATAAAGCTCGGTTTTACTTCATCTAATGTTATAACGGTTGGTTTCCCACATCTATACGTATGCGACGTTAATATACCATCGATGAATATATACACTAGATCCCCCCAGTGTCTATTCTACAGGACTTCAACACAACTCAGATGATCAAGAACACGTGATTAGCCTGATTAGAATGTAAATATATTTCCACACCAAAACCCGACACAATTTAACAACAATGAACAATCAATAATAAGTGAGTCATAATAATAATAAGGATAGGGGGAATATATAACTCATCTGACACTTGTTAGATTATCTACATATCTGACTAAGCAAACAATCAACCAATATCATTCATGCCTACACATCAATTTTATTTTTGATTGAGATCATGAACCGATTGATGTTAGACCACCATTGAAAACCTGGAAGTACTGGACAGCCGTTTCGTCCTCAATGATGGTCTAACATCAATCGGTTCATGATCTCTATCAAAAACCTAACTATCTCCATAACCCCTAAACTGATATTCATATTATTTTAAATCTCTATATCCTATATACATATACAGGATCAATGTATTAAAGAATTACAAGAAAAAATTAATCGTCTTACTCCATTAGAAGCAATCACAACACAAAAGGATATTCTTATAAAACATTTACAAAATCAATTATTTCAAATGAATCAATTAAATAGATTATTTCATTATACCGATAATTCTACCTCATTATATACACCTAGAAATGTTTCATTCATGAGTAATTATACTCAAACAGATCATGAACAAAATATTATTACGTCATCATCATCATCTAATCAAAGTCTATATCCTACTCAGCAACAGCAACAACCACGACAAGAACAACAACAACAACATGGACCCATTCGAGTACGACCTTGTTCAACACCTTCACCAATGAAATTATCCTTAAATAATGTTACTATGTTAACAAATCATAATGATAAAATGAATAATGATACTATAAAAGATGAACAATTATTAGAAAAAACACATAAAGAACGTCAAATATTAAGTGGTCTTGTAATACAATTACAAAAAGATTTATCTAATAAAGATATACAAATAAATAGATTAAATAAAGAATTAAATTTAATGAAAAATCAATTAATCGAAAAAGATACAACCATAGATGCATTACATGTGAAAGTAAGTAATCATTACTATTGTTTCAATACATGTATATATATTTTTCAATGGTGTTAAGATCATGAATCAGTTGAAGGTAGACCACCATGGAAAACCTAGAAGCGCTGGACGGCCAACTCATCCTATTGTGAGACTCCTACTGATTTCACGCTTGAACACTTAACCACTAGACGACTGAGCCGGTATCCAACGGTGTTAATGTCTAACTTCAACCAATCCACGAAATTGTGCGACACATCCACCATTGTCTTCAGTGAATTACTATCTCACAACAGACATGGTTGAACTCCATTGGTCACCACTTCTCAGTAGAACTCGAGAAACCAGTAGGTCCTGGTTTCGAATCTCGCAGAGGGTGAGGTCGTGGATGCGCATTTGCTGAGGAGTCCCACAATAGGACGAAAGGGCCATCCAGTGCCTCCAGGTTTTCTATGGTGCTCTAGCTTAAACTGACTCATGATCTTAATCATTGAAATTACTATAATATCCACAAAACCCATCTGACATGTATATATAAAAATGTTATCAGTATGGGAACTTGTGGAGATGATCGTATTTTCATAGTTGAATTCACAATTCAATCTAAGGTCGGTCATCATGTGTGTGTGATGTGAAATAGTTATCCACATTAGACAATGAATGAAGGATTGTGCAAGATCATGAATCAATTCAAGTTAAACATTAACACCGTTGGAGGTGTTCACGCACAAAACCGAAGGTCTTGGGTTCGAGTCCCGTGAGTGGGATCATGGTTGCGCACTAATGACAACTCGCATTTAAGAACAGAATAGCTATTTAGTGCTTCAAGGTTTTTAATGATGGTTTAGCTTAGGTCAACTAATAAACTCAACTGTTAAAATATCTATTTTGGTTAAGAGTTTAATTAGAATTCTCACTACTTAAATCTTGTTTTCCCGTAGAAGTTTGGTTCATAATACTTTTAAAATTGCTTTTAGAATAATATGTAGTGAGATGTGGGCTTGAATCTGTCATAGTCGTTAGATGGAGCCAAGAGTTTCAGCATATCAAAAGCGCGGAGTTGACTGAACACTTGAAGGTCAGGCAAGAATACACCGCAAGACGCAAATGAATGATTCAAGGCTATGTAAATATATATATATATATATATATATATATATATATATATATATATATATATATATATATATATATATATATATATATATATATATATATATATAATGTAAATATTTGTCCAGTTGCTCGTTGTCTTGTTCTACCAAGGTATAAACAGTATGAAGAGGTGGTTTTTTTCGTCTCAATCTGACACAGGTTGCAAAAATAATTAGAATCCCGGGATCATTGAACAGATGCCTTATTATCGTTTGAGGTTCATTTTTGTGATACAAACCCAGAGACTTCAAGTCAGATGATGTGGATATTCATTTAAAACTAATAGGGTTGATTTCAATGGTCCATATTTTCAAAACCATGTAATTTGGGGTACAGTAAAACTAACTTCAGATAGTATTGACTATTAATACCACAACACACATCATCCGTAGTTGAAAAGAAATTTACATTCATTTAGTGAGTATTCTATTTATACTAGGGGAATTGAAAGTCAAAGGGAAATCGATTGTCTCATAAATAATTTTAAAGATTTTACTTTAAAGGAATAAGTTGATTATATGTTTGTCCACTTTTTACATCTACATCCTGATAATCTCCATTGTTATTGTCATGTATTGGGTGTAACTATGATTGATATATAAATATGATGAAAACATTAATAAGTTGTAAACAATGAAGTAGTTTATACATTTTGATATAAATACCATAATGTTAACACTGAACTACTTACCAGAATTATATCAGTAGTATGTATGTAGTATCCCAGCCTAGCGTACAATTCAGCCTGTATCTCTTCTAAGGTTACTGACGGTCCAAAGCCCTATTAAACGAGGAGTGTTGGATATGGGTTCACCAACCCTATCTGATGGAAAACAACCAAGCTAAAAAATTATTAAACAGAATAAAAAAATTAAACCATTTAAACTCTACCCAACGAGTTGAGCTATCGTCATTCAAAGGAATTATGACAACTAATGATGAAAGCTGATAATCTTCGGAAGTCATGAGGCCAATACTCCTTCCACTAATCAGAGGAATAATTTTTATGCGTATATAGAATGTCCGAGTAATGTGAAGGACCAGGAGGACCAGTTAAATAGCAATGGAAATGAGGAGATACAAATCGGAAGTACTCGGAATTGGTAAAACCTATTGGACTCAAGTTGGAAAGCAAAGGTAAGATTCAGAAGAGATTCTGCTGTACTCTGTTCATCACCACCTGGTGTTTGATAACATAAAACTGAAGCTAAAGAAACACTGAACAACTGGAGAAACAGCAATACAAAGGTCTGTGTGTGTTGCTTCGATATCCGGTTGATTCAATGGAGCTGGCGTAATCAAGTGTTCCTCAATATGTTCCACCTATTTGCTCCTCTGTTTTCGGATCTCAGTGATTAGTTTGTCTTCTTTGTTCTCGACTGGTTCCTCTAGTTTATTATATTTTGCTGTCAGTTTCTTCGTTATATCATATAGTTATTTCATATTTCCTTCTGTTGCAGCTTTTCCGCTGTCATCGTTATGTCTTCTATGTACTTCTGTTTGCCAGCTATAATGCTCTTGTTTACTTTCTTGTTTGCTTTTGTGTATTCAGTTTGTGCCTTGGAATTCTCAGTTTTGTCCGACTGTCGTCAATTTCTGTCTTCTTGTTCTTCTTATTTTGAATCCTGCTCAGGGTTTTGATAGAAATCCATTCCTCATGATAATGCTTCTTGCGGCCCGATATCTCCTGACATGTTAGATTTAGTGCTTCTCTGATCCCTTTCCAGTTGTCCTCCACAGTAGTTTCTTCTTCCTAGAGTAGATCTTGTCAGGCATAGAATCTGTTGTTGAGAGCTATCTTAAGTTCGTTGTGTTTGTTGGTATCTTGAAGGAAGGCTGTATTGAACCTTTGCACTACTGTTTCTCCAGTTGTTCAGTGTTTCTTTAGCTTAAGTTTCATCTCCTTTATCCTCCTTTGTCCGGGCTTGAGAGCAGCAGTAGCTCCAGAGGGGTTTCATGTGGAGTTGCCTTGACATAGCTTCGCTTAAATCAGTGCAGCGGAAAACTGTGGACACAGATTCTACTGAAAAATTGTTATAACCTTAGATATTAAGAACACTAAGAACACAAGGGAATTTTTGAAGTTTGGGACTCAGGTCAATCAACAATCAACAATCACTTGGAAATCGATCCAATTTACCAAGCAAACGGAAGAATAATGGACAAATATAAGACCAAGAGTCAAGTCAAAGGGAGATAACACCAAAGTAAAGAGGTAGATAACGATAGGTTAAAGGTCAACAATAAACTATCAAAATCGAGGTTATCAGGGTAAAATGTTAGTCATACGTGGAAAAACTCAAATACTTTACTTCTATCTGTAGTTTATGCTGATGGTATTCAGAAGAATAATGAGTGCTCTACGACCAAACCACCGAGCTCAGATTACAAAACTCCATCGGAGTTCTGTCATCTTTTAACAATTATTAAGGATATTTTTCAGTACCAACCGATCATTCTAAGTACATCCATTTTTCTAATATTCTGTACGAGGTAAACAGAAACCTACCAAAATCAGTATGATCTCATGTCCTCTGTATTATTGAACCATATACTGTACACAAAGAGATATGAACTGCGTATATAAAACAAACTTTTTCATCTTTATATTCTGCTACTGACTACCTATCAAATATTCTTGTTTTCAATCATTAACCTCTACTTCTACTAACCCAAACTGCATCCTTCTTGTTTGAATGATGATCATAAATGCATTTTTTTCTCAAGATTTGCCTCATTATTCCATTAAGAGACTCAGTCACATCGGTATTATTTCCATATATAGTTCAGATGAAAGGCAAATCTTGGAGGAATTTTGTTCTAAACCATCCAGCTCAGAGAACGAAACTTCATCAAAATCATCCATCTGAACTATAAATCTTCCCCACCATCTCGAATGGCAAATCTTCTACATCATCCTAGCATTTCAAAGTTTTTTTAATGCATTCAATAACTTTGTGCATTCATTTGTTTTTATTTGTATTAACTGATAAGTTATTACCATAGTTAATAGGCTTAATAAGATTGATCTTCTTCAAATAATTTTATTGATTCCTAGACCGCATACACACATAGTCTAGTCATACCATGTAGTAGGTACTCTAGGCGACCTTTGAATTACTTACGCCTGCTACTCCTCGTGGAGGAGTATAAGCCGCCGACCAGAATTCTTGAACCAACTCCACCTTGGGCTCTCCTTTCAAATCGTTTTCCAATTGTTGTTCATTCTTTTGACGTCTACTTCCAATTTTCAGTGCAATTTGTTCTCAGGTCTTTCCTTTCTACCTTCAACAAAATCATCCACTCCAGCTATAAATTTTCACTACGATTGAATTCACCGGTAATGAATAATCATAATACTGCATTTCAGATTGTCTGAAAAATATAAAAGATTTGATCGATGGTGTCATGCTACACTAAGATGTATCCAAGAAAATGATAATCGAACTGGAACAGAATATCTGTCGAATACTACGTTGTTTGCTATCGGATTCCATGTTGGTTAACGATGAAAATTGCTCCTAAATAACATTTGCTTCATTAAATTCATGTTTTTAAATGTGTATGTTTTTCTTAAATAGTACTATTTCTCAAAGGTCTGTTAAGTTAATCACGAAATTCTCATCGCTTTTAATCACCCATTGTAAAATCTTTTTCATATGAAAATTATATATTATTAGCTTCACTGGTCACGGCCTCTCGCTAGAACTCCGAGAATTGCCACTCGAATCTAGTCACTAGTGAGCGCATGGTAATTATCAGTATGCGGTTGTGGAGATTGTTGAGTAAGGTAATTCTCGATGTTCTAGTGCGAATCCATGACCAGTGGAGCTAATTCATGTCAAATGTGAGTCAGTTACCCACCGAAGACAATAGAAAACAATCGCGCAATTTCATGGATTGGTTGAAGTTATAGTTCATTATTTTAAAAACACTTTTTTTACATTCATCATTCAACTTTCATTGATCTTTCTAGACTAACTTTAGTATGAACACAGTTCGACAGTTTCATAAATAAATCCAAATAAAAGTCACCTTATAAATATGTATTATCTTAATTAAGTTGTGTTATAAACTATATTTCTCTTAACTGTTGATATACATTTTGTAATTTTTCAGTATAACAAATCTCAAGATAAAAAACAATACAATTTGGAGAAGGAACAATTTGAAAAAGAAATTGACAGTATTCGTCAGGTAAATCATATGAATTTTTTCTTTTGATGAAAAACCGTGACCAGTGGAGTGTAATCCGTGTCGGGTGGAGACAGTTATTCATTTCAGACAATGGATGTAGGGTTGTGCAACATCATGCAATGGTTGAAGTTAGACATTAACACAGTTAGATCACGGCTTAGTGGTCTGGAAGTTAAGCGTTCGTGCGTAAGACTGAAGGTCCGTGGTTTGAATCCCGTGAGAAGGATCATAGTTGCACACTGCTGAGGAGTCTCATTCTAGGATGAGTCAGTCAGTCAGTCAGTCAGCTACAACGTAGGACCAGGCACATATGTGCATCGGTCCAGGTTGCCATACCTCATTAGCACAGCAAGATGAACACTGGATTCATAGGAGTGGTTAGGTCAAAGGTGGTAATATATAGGAGAAAGATTGCAATAAGGATATAGTATAGGAAGAAAGAATTAGTTCGTAGAAAGAAAGATGTGAAGTGACCGTTGTTGCTACCTTGACGTGGTGGTCGGGCTTGCCTATCGTGATGAAGCAACCGAGCTATACTGGCTGGAACAACCGTTCCTCAAGGTCCTACCATGTCAGACAGGTCGGTTGAAGAGCGGTAAGACTAAAAGCAACAAACCCAAGTTCCGAAGGCGAAGTCGTACTGCTGACTGTACAGAGGTGTGACAGCAGTAAGGTGTTTCCTTCAGACAACCAGCATGACAGCGATGCTGCCTTCCCACAAGGAGGGGTGGGGTTAGAAAAGGTCGACCCTAAAAATGCACACCTCGCCTTATCCCACGGATATCCGTCTCCGGCGGTAAGGTCTCAATAAGTACGGAGCTAACACAAAAATTACCCATAACAAGGTCGTGTGTGACCGACCTCAAGCAGTTGTCCCTTGGGCACTGCGGTCACGCTCTCAGTTCACTAAGACCACCTTTAATCCAATTTCCTTTTCAGGTACCTCCAGAAGAACCCTTCCATGGTGTGGGCAACCGGGAAGTGATAACCGCCCTCATACTTCTAACAGCACTCAAGTCCACTGTATTCATAATCAACCATTCTAGGATGAAGTGACCATCCAGTGCTTCGAGGTTCCCATCAGTGGTCTAGTTTAAGTCAACTCATAAATTCAAACATTAAAATTAGTTTTATTCACTTTGAAATGGTTTCTTTTCTTTTTCTATTCTAGTTTAATATTTACAATAATATCAATAACTACCCAAATACCATTCATTGAGACTGACAATATTTACATAACTTAAGACTTGGTTTATTGTTATTTATTATGGGTCTTATTTAAAACATTTAGAATTCATTTCTAACATAGTCATTGATGAAAACGTTAATAAAACTAGGATTTATTATCGGGTACTTTAAGATAAATCATATATTGATGCAAGATCAGGCAAATAACATGTCATCACAGGGTCAAATCCAAATGTAAACGGTATATTTTAAATAAGTGGATTATTCTTGTAACCAAAGTAACTAACCATCTAGATAACTCTCATTCCCTCCACGATTATATATATATTTGTATGCATTATTATTTGGTTTTCGTAATATAGATTCTTATGAGTCATTTCAGGGTTATGTTTCCATGAATCTTTACCCAAATAAAATAATTATCTTCATATCTCACAACAACCATTGTATATCTTTTGATCACTAAGTCAGAATTCATTAGTTGACATTCCTTAAAACTCCGAGAATTACCTCTCAAATTTAGTCACTAGTGAGTACATGGTAATTATCAGTGTGCAGTTATGAAGACTGTTGAATAATGTAATTCTTGGAGTTCTAGTGAATAACCACGACGAATTTTGGATGTACCGTAGTTAACTACTGAAGAAAGCGGAAAACGGTCACGCAGTTTCATGCCTTTTTATTCAATAGTTCAATTAAACCTTTTTAAGTTATTGAACAAAAAGATCTTCCTTCCTTCCTCCCATTCATCCATCTTTTCGTTCTTTTTTGTTTTTACTTTTTTCAGAAATATAAAACTTCAGAATTACATAATCATTCATTACAAGATGAATTAGATAAAATGAAATTAGATCATCATAAACTTCTTCAAGATGTTGAAAATAAATTAGTTGCAGAGAATAAATTACGTAAAGAATTAGAAGAGATGCAAGTGAAAATTATTGAATTAGAACGTTCTGTTCGAATTCATCAACTTGATAAAAATGAAGTTGTTAGTGAGGTAAATTTAATCATTTATAAATGTTTCTCAGATAATATATTACTTACTTACATACGACTGTTACTCCCATGGAAGAGCATAGGCCGCTCACCAGCATTCTCCATCCAACCCTGTCCTGAGCAACCCTTTCCAGCTCTTTCCAGTTGTTATTCATCTTTCTTCTATCTGCTTCTATTTTCTGACTTAATGTGTTCTTTGACCTTCTTCTTTTCTGCATCCTTTCAGGATTCCATGTTAAGGCTGTCTGCGTGATGCAGTTTAGTGAGTTCCATAATGTTTGTCCTATACACTTTCAACAACTTTTCCTAATTTCCTCTTCAGCTGGAAGTTGGTTTGTTCTCTGCCACAATAGGCTGTTCCTCATGGTATCCGACCAATGAATGTTGAGTATCTTTCGTAGACACTTGTTTAGAAATACTTGTACCTTGAGATAATATATAGGCGGGAGTATTGATGTTGCTAATTGATTAGAAGTGTTGAAAATAATCCCACACTAGAATGAATCAACTGTTCAGTGTTTTCTGGTTTTAAATAATATCTAAAGACAAATTCTTTTACGAATACCGTCTAAAGGTTGTTTATTTTTCAAAATAAGCCCAGGAGACAACATTTAGGATGTTTTATAATTTTCTCTTATTACGAATCAGAAATTCCTATTGTTTAGTAGACTTGGACATCAATTCATTCGACAAGTCCCTAAATCAGAACATGGCGGAACAGGAACGGAATTATATTCCAAATAACATAGGGTAAACGGAAGTAAGAAGCACAGCAAGAAAAAAACATTGTTATATTTACAGTTTTTATATGAGAAGATTCTAGGTGGAGACTACAACTTATGAACGAATCAATTAAATTTAGGATAACAAGTCTCTGATTTTGGCGCGAAATACGCTTATCCATTTGGCTAAATAGATTCTTGGCATTATAGCTGATGTCAGTTTGTGATGAAAACCCCAAATGTTATTCCTAACCTTAACCATCAAATTTAAATCATAATTCTAATTCATCACACAGGCTCATAATCTTCATTTGGTCGTAGTTATTAGTTGAACACTTTCAAAGTCACTGTCGCAAGCGCTCGAAGGTCCTCCATAAATTATAGTCTCACCGATTCTGGAGTCTTGTCCAAGTGTCGACTAGAGCTGATTGGCTAGGAAAGACCTGACACACATAACATTGATCACCACCCAGTGATCAATCAATTGCAAATACATCTCAGTCCTACAGGAGGTTGGTTACGGCCCAGATAGCCCAGTGCTAACGTCTCTGACTGTGAAGCTAGGTGACACGGGATCGAATCCATCAGGGAGTACCCATTCTCTCAAGATTACTGATACACCTTGCTGATGAGTGCTAAATACCACGAAACCTGGGTCCAGGGTTTCCTGTTGATTACCTCCAACCACTATCTAATCTCAACATAGTGCACGCAATATCGAGTCACCTAGACTAATGGCCACATTGCAACTTGGTCGATAGGATTCGATCTGCACTAAGAAGGACTTGACACACATGACATTGGTCACCACCATCCAGTCATGAATCAATTGTGAATAATTCTTAACCATTCAGCTTGTAACCAACGTAATCGTGCGTGGAATATGCTTTAATTCAATCTATGTCCCATTAACAGAAATCCATGCCTCCATGTAGAAATCATCACTAATATGTATCTATATTATTACTTAACTAGAGAAGATCATAATCGACATAAATTCTACAGATTGTAGTCCATCTATCAACAATCACATGTGATTTATATTATCATTCTTTTTTTTCCTTTTGAAATTAGTTTGAACGTTTACGTACACGTATCATGCGTATTGTATTCGCTGTAATATCTGAAACTCAATTCAATACTAAGAAAACATTAGAAACTTCTTCGAATAAGAAAGTTACTATCAATTCTGAATCCAATACTCAATCCATTGATGATAATAATCATGAATTATCAAATGCGAAATCACCACCACCACCACCATCATCATCAATAGACAACGTGGATTCATATCAAGATATAAATCATAATGAACAATTATTAGATCGTATACAATTTCTAGCTGATGATTATAAACGTTTACAATATGAATTACAAATTAATAATTCAATAGATAATCAAATGAAACAACAAAATAAATCAATTGAAAATGAATTAAATGAATTTATTCATATTTATATAGAAGCTCAAGTATGGATTGTTTTATTATTAAATGATTATTCATTGATTTGATTGATTGATTGATTGATTTGATTGATTGATCGACCAGTTGATTGATATTGTTATATATATAGATGCTCGAGTATGAATTGTTTTATTATTAAATGGTTATTCATTGATCGGTTTATTGATTGATTGATTGGTTGATATTGTTATAAATGGTGACTTTGATAGTTTAACATCATATAGAAATTTCGAAGGTATTGTGTTCTTTGAGCTAGATCATTTAATTGTGATACTTTCATTGTTTTTCTGAACACCATTATCAGTATGTATTTTAATGAGAAATGAGCTTTTAAAAGTGGAGAAGATTTGTAGCTCAGGTGGATAATTTTGATGGAGTTTTGTTCTCTGAGCTGGATGGTTAGGCCGTGGAGCTTTCATCGTTCCTTTAAAAGTTTTCCACTCATAACTAACCAATTGTTTTGATTATTTGGAATTTAATATATGTATGGTTCTTGTTTATCCGTTTGTTTGTTTCAATTGTTTTCTCTGTAGATGACGCTTATAATTGATAGATTTGATCGATTACAATCTCCATTGTTTGCTAGTTATTAAGCTTCTAATGAAGCTTAGGTTTTCTGTTTGTTTACTCTGTTCGATATTTTACAGTCGAGTTTTTGGACATAGTCGTTTTCATGAATTGATATGTTGTATCTTTTAGCAACTAAATGGTATTTATGTGAGTGGAGGCAATGAGAGTACCCACTCTGTTACTGCAATTTATCTTGTAGATGAGGTTTAGTTTGTCATTAACTGTGATTGTATCCTATGATTTGCATAATATTGATTACAACAATTTTATCGGTTTGTGGGCTTCATCTATTTCTATGACCCTTATTAATCTGTATGAACTAAAAGCTTAAAAACTAAGCTATCCAGCTAGAAGAACGCAACCACCCCTTGATACTTTGATATTAAGAATTCCAATTCTGTGAATTAGCACATCATATATTGTAAGCGAACGATATTATCTTTCAGTTCGATCTTCATAAACCTTAAGTTTAATAAACAGTAATACTTATATCCATGTATGAAAATATCGAACCAATCAAGGCAGGTTATGTGTCAGTGATAGCAATACTTAAGAAGTTACCAACCCCTGTCACCCCTCGTAGAGGGACATAAATCACCAACCAGGGATTTCGAACCAGCTCTGTATTAGGCTCCCTTTTCCAGTTGTTTCCAATTGCTATTCATTTTTCTTATGTCTGCCTCCAGTTGCAGGAGCAATGTGTTCCTTGGCCTTCCTCTTTTCCCTTTCCCTTCATGATTCCAAAATAGAGCTTGTCTCATAATGCAGTTTGGTGGTTTCTGCAAAGTATATCCTATCCACGACCAGAGTCTTTTGCTAATTTCCTCCTCAACTGATAGCTGGTGTGTACTCTCCCACAATAGGTCGTTACTAATAGTATCCTGCCAATGGATATTGAGTACCTTACATAGATAATGGTTTATAAATACTTGTGCGTTTTTGATGATAGATGTAGCATTTCTCCAATTTTTAGCTCCATACAGTAGACCTGTTTTGACGTTTGCATTGAAGATTCTGAACTTGTTATTGGCTTGCAGACAGTTGCTTTGAATTCCATATTTTAATCAATTGTAGGAATGCTGCACTTGATTTGCCAATCCATGCCTTCACACCTGTATCAGATCCCCCTTGCTTACTGGTGATGCTACCCAGGCACGTAAATCCCCCCACCTTTTTTCCGTGTTTCTCCGTCAGTTATGATTGGATGGGTGCTCTGTGTTTTGCATCTCAGGATCCTTCTTTTTGCCTTGTGCATGTTGAGGCCTACTACTGCAGAGGCTATGCTGTTACACTGGTTGTCTTCACTTGTATTTTTTGTTGGTGAGTTTGGGATAGAAGGGTCAGGTCATCTGTGAAGTCCGAATCGTCTAGCTGCTCGCCAGCTGTCCACTGTATTCCATTCAACGTAACTCATAGATTATGGTAGGAAGTACAGTGCAAAACTTGGTGTAAAAATGAACAATACAAAACATTTTCAATTGAAAAACTAATAATAATACTTAGTTGAAAGCAGTGCCAATGCTTACTTAGCCCCGTTTCAATCATGTCCGACGTCAAAAAGGTATCAGCAGTAGCAACAGATAATTGTCACTCAATATTGGGAATTAACTGAAGTTAAGAACGTGAACCACTAAATTTAAATCGTAGTTTATTTCGAACTTTAACCGCTCTCTGTAACAGTCTGTAGGTCTTCTATTCGATTTCTGGAGCGATGGTGGAGTTCCAATACAAACACCTTATATTATTGTCTGTTTCTTTACGAAGCTGTGTACTGTATAACCAAGTTGTAAATACAAACAATATCTAAACAATCGTTTAAAAAGTTACATTCTAGGAAAGATTGATCAATGCGGTCTTGTATATTAATAAACGAAAACATTTATCCGTACAGTTGATAATAAAGCTTTATTTCTCCCATTTTTACTTAGCAAAACATGAAAGATACACCCAGATTTCGTTCATCATTACGACTAAAACAGGATATTGAGTTACTAGCTGCTTATGTTCCAGCTAGTGAAATCTTAAAACGACTTCAACGTATCCTATTGGACGATTTACAGGATCAGGTGAATACACAACAACGTCTCGAAGATTGTGTACAAGAAGCTGTTGGGACAATACAGTCACAGAATACTGGTAGGTTACTGTCCTAACACTGTTTCAATCACTTAAATAATCCCTAGAACGTCTAGTAACTTAGATCCGTCAAGTGCCTTTCCGTTTTACGTTCATCGAGGACCGTCTATCCTCAGTAATCAATAGAATGCATTGATAATTGAAAATCAAAAGATACCGCACTTATACTATGAAACAACGTATATTAAACACATCCAACATCATTCATCTAATGCGGATCGCTTCGAGATCAGCTTAGATCACAAGCACTATCAGCAGATATGGGTGGTGACTAGCAGTAGAATCCAGGACTCACATTTTGTCCTATATGGGACTCGTTGCTGGATATACCTGCACCCGAAAGTTGATGTTCACTCAGGGACTCCAACTCAGTACCTTTTGCTTTAAATGTCATCGCGTTATCCATTTAGCTAGTAAATCCAGACATCCAATTGCTTGTGCAATCGGGTGAAGTTTTAATTCATTTTTGGATTGTTTGTTATAATCTTCCCATTAATGTACATCCAACTGACAATTCTCAAATAGGATGAAACGCACATCTTGGATTCCATCACTAACAACCATCTATCTTTGCTTTTAAAGACATTTTATTTACGAAAAGAACCTTCACAACTTTTAATTCAAGGAAAAGTGATATGGTTGTGAAAAGAACGATGAATAATAGAAGATGATTTCTAGGAAGATGATTATAAACCTCATTTATGAATAGTTCATTCATCAAATAACTATCATCATTTGTTATTCATTATCATTGAAATTTAGTCAATAGAAAGAGATTGACTTAAAACGTGATATGAATTACAATCGTTCAATTTAATGATTAACTTTGATTAAGAATTAATATCAATTAATAAAGTATTGAACATCAATAATGATCACTGGTTAACTGCTTCATTATTGTCTTGATCTTTTTTACAATGAATATTCACTACTTCGACAACGATCAATAAAACCGGACAAAAGTAACTACCATGGAAACAATGTAAATTAAAATAGTTATGAAGTCCAAAAATACAGTATCAATCATACAATAAAAAAAATGAAATTTTCTTTCTTTCTTTCCTTCTTCCTACCTCCCCCCTTTCTTTCCATATTTTACTTTGAATGCTAAATATCAGTAGTTATACTTAAATTGAATGCTTTAAACTATTAACCATTGAGCAACCATATATATATGGCTTATATTGAACTGAGCAATCATAGTGTAAACGGTAGTATAATTGGAAACTAATGACCTGATAATTATCATTAGGAACCATTATTTTTAGTTAATTTAAAGATAGTTCCGGTTTAAGATTACAAGTTTTAATTGAATTTAAACTATCCTGGATACTATCTGAATTGAGTTATATTCCAAGTGAATGAAAAAAGAGATCAGATCATAATTTATACACGATCATGAGCAACATTAAAATGACCTTAAGAATGTTCACCTACTTACTATAGTTAATTTAAGGGTTATAGATTTGTGTGAGTCATCAAGATTAGGATTTAAAGTTGAACGTTAGAGTTAGGAATTAGATTGATGATAGGGTTTTATTCTCTAAGCTGGATGATTTGGTCGTGAAGCTATTATCGTTCTTCTGAACGATATCATTAGCACCTATATTTTGTTCTCATGATGTCGATCAAAAGAACGATTAAAACTCTACTACCGAATCATGCAGCTCAAAGAATAAAACTCCATCAAAATCGTAGAGTTACAAATCTCCACTATCATCTCAATGCCAATTTATTCAAAGTGTCAACTACAATAGAATAGAATCGTACAGTTTTAGCTTACTGTGTTACGTCATTTGTTATATACAGGGCTTAGATACTTGATATAATGCGTACAACTTCAACATTCGAACACTAGAACCTTCCAAGTAGTAAACGAGAAGATAGAAGATAAGTAAAAAGAAATTTTATTCCAAACAGTGTCAAATATAGTAGGTATTTACAGTTTTTATTAAAAGCCAAATCATCATTATAATCACCCAATCTGAATACAGAGGGTTATTGGCATTTGTCCAATAGGGAAGCTACATGTCAAGATTCTAGAATATTCTTCTAAAAGATGATTGAATAGAATATCTTCAGCTCTTTCTGACATTTTTCTCAAGTTTACCTATGAACTGTTATATTTTAAAGGCTGATTTCTTGATATACCGCGTATAACAGAGCACTAGAACACCAAAACCCCTCCAAGTCGCAATAAGAAGACAGGAGACTAACGAAAGGAATATTATTGCAACAGTGTTCATTATAGTGCGAAATTGTCAGGTATTTATAGTTTTTAGTAAGAACAAAATCGTCATTACAGTCCACCAATCCGCGTTCATGGAGTTATTACCACTGACCAATCAAGAGGCTACACGTTGGAATTCTAGGATGTTCTTCTGAAAGGTGATTGGATGGAATATCTTCGGCTCCTTCTGAGCCTCTTACAGCTTCCTCAAGTTCACGCGCGGTCTTTCGTCATATGAACTAACCTTACAACTATTATTCTCTATGATTATATTCTAAAATTAATTTACATAGAAACAATAATCTTGTTTATCTTTTTTATGTTTATTTTGATTTCCATATTAACATTACATTGGATAGATATGTTACATATCATTAATCGTCCAGATGATTTAGTGAATACAATAAGACATTTAGCTGAATTAACAACCATAATGATACAACAGAAAACGGATTTATTAAAACAAATAAAAATGAATGAAATGGAACATCAAGAAGAACTTCTTAAAACTAAATCACTTATTCAAAATGAATGGAAAATGATGATGGATGATAAAATAGCTAAATTAAATTATGAAAGTAAGTTATATTATTGTAATGATTGTAGTGTGAGTTGCTATGTCAGGTCTATTGAGATTATTCCAGTTTCTGGAGAAAACTAATCTATTCATTTTTATTAGTATAGGGTTGTGAAGATTGTTAAGTTTTCGATTGAGATCATGGACCGGTTGATGTTAGACCACTTTTGAAAAATCTAACTCATGTGAGAAGTACTCAGTGGAGCTAATCCATGTCAGGTAGAGACAGGTATCTACCTCAGACAATGGAGTATGGTCGCGCAATTTTATGGATTGGTTGAGGTTACATATTAATACCGTTGAAATCTGGCTTAGTGGTTCGAGACCAAAGGCCTTGGGTCCGAATCTCGGGAGCGGAGTCGTGGATGCGCACTACTGGGGAGTG